ATACATATATGTGTGTATATATACATATATATATAATATGCAAATGACACAACCTTGTTTGCTGGAAGCAAAGAGGACTTGAAATACTGATAAAGATTGAAGACTACAACCTTCAGTGTAGATTGTACCTCAATGTAAAGAAAATAAAAATCCTTACAACTGGACCAGCAAATAACATCATGATAAAGGGAGAAAAGATTGAAGTTGTCAAAGACTTCATTTTGCTTGTATCCACAATGAATGCTCATGGAAGCAGCAATAAAGAAATCACCTGATGTATTGAATTAGACATATCTTCTGCATAACACCTCTTTAAAGTGTTAAAAAAGCAAAGGTATCACTTTGAGAACTAAGGCTCGCCTGACTCAAGTTATGGTATTTTCAGTCGCCTTATATGCATGTGAAAGTTGGACAATGAATAAGGAAGACCATAGAATAATCAGTGCATTTAAATTATAGTGTGGGCGAAGAATATAAAAAGTACCATGCAATTAGAATACACAAATTTGTGTTGAAACAAATACAACCAGAATGCTCCTTGGAAGTGAGGATGGCACATCTTTTTCTCTCATACTTTGGTCATGTCAAGGACTGGTCCCTTCCACATGGCAAAATGGAAGGTGAGTGAAAAAGACAAAGACCCTCAGTGAAATGGATTGACAACACTGGCAGCAACAGTGGACTCAAGCATGGCCACAATTATTAGGAGAGCATAGGACTTGACTGTGTTTTGTTTTGTTGTTCGTAAGGTCATAATTAGACTGAACCAACTTGACGGCACCTAATGATAACAAGAACTCTACCATGCCTAATGTAATTTTCTCAAATTTGACAAGTAACTCCATACTCCTTTGGCAGGGAATTAACGTAGTCCATGCCATTTAGAAAGCAGTAGTAGGGTTAGAGAAGTGGCATTTATTACTAACTCTTTATAGTTGACATTATTTATGCCTTCTATTTACCAAACACTTTACCCAACCCATTGCCTTCCAGCTGATTCTGTCTCACAGTGACCCTGTAGAACAGACAGTGCGACTGCCCCATAGTGTTTCCAATGCTGAGATCTTTGTAGAAGCAGGTTCCACATCTTCCTCCCATGGATTAAAATCACCATCTTTGAGTTTACAGCTGAGTGTTGAACCATTGCACCAGTAGGGCTTCTACCAAGTGCTAAATATACCTAGGATTTTCATATCAGTACTCTCCATTATAGAAAATTCAAGTTAAATGAACTTCATAAAAATGTCTCTTTGAAGTTTAGGTGGATTATATGAGGAAAATATAAATTAATTAACATGTTAGTATTATACAGGATTAATTAACTGGAAAGAAATACTCATTTAGGACTCCACAGTAAATCTGACTGATGTTTCTTATGCAACTTAGAAATAGTCCCTGTACTTTCCTTATTCTTATTTTACTTGATTTATATGCATGTCTCAAATTGCTAGATTTCATTAATGAAATTAAAATTGTTTACTTTTACAATGTTGTTAAGTGCTTTTGAGTCAGGTCTGACTCATAGCAAACTTATATAGGGTTTCCAAGGAGTAGCTGGTGGGTTTGAACTGCTGACCTTATGGTTAACACACCAGGACTCTACTTTTATAATGTTGTTGTTAGGTGCGATTGAGTTGATCCTGACTCATAGTGACCGTGGTATAGGGTTTGCGAGGAGTGGCAGGTGAGCTTCACCTTGTGGTTCAAACCAACCTTACCCTAAGTCCAGTGCCTTATCCTAAGGCACTATACCAGGACTCCTTTTATAATAGTAGAACAAATTTGGTAAGATAGTTATTTACAAGATGTAACTCACCAGAGGGAACACCCTTTGGTAGTAGTATTTAAGCTGATATTTTCCTAAATTCATTCAATTTTAGAAACCTAGTTACTGGTGTGGTGCTGTAGGATAAAAATTGGACTGCTTACTACAAGGCCGGTGGTTCAATCCCACCATCCACTCCTTGGAAACCCTATACAGGGTCACCGTGAGTTGGAACCCACTTGACTGCACTTAACAACAGTCAGCTAATGCTCAGAGTAACCTGACTTGTCTGCATTCTTTATTGTTTTTTATCTTACAGAATTCTTCTATCTTCTAATGTAAATACACTGGACTAGTAACCGTGAGATTGACAGTGCAAACCTACCAGCTGGTCTAAGAAGCTCTATACAGGGTCACTATGAGTAGAAACCAAATTGATGGCCCAGAAAAGCAACAATACAGTATTAAATATATCTTAGAGAATTGTATACAAGTATAAGTCAAGAAGTATTACTACTAGGGTCCCATTTCATACATGCACAGATTCATTCCAAATAATACATGTTTAAACATTTCTCTGCAATCACTGGATGGCTGTAGATGGTAATACTCGTTAGGGTGCCTTCAAGAAAAAGGTTCTGTCAGACTAGTGGCTTCCAAGGGGATCTGCTTGGCCAGTTAATTTCAAGGCAGAGAGATCTACTCAGAAATTTATGAATTTTTTTTCGGGGGTGGGATTCCCAATGGGTATTCTTGATCAATTTTCCCAAAATACACAGGACAGCAAGGAACTTATTATAAAGGACTTTTAAGAAAATTAAAAACTGAATTGTTGAGTAAAAGGCCAGGAAAGTTTTCTGAGGAATTATTTTCCATCACAACAATACACCTACTCATTTTATGACAGTAGCAAGAGCTGTCGTGTAAGAATTTGTTTGGTAAACCTAACACCTATCCACCCTATAGTCCTGATCTTTGTCTCTTCAGGCTTTTTTTTTTT